TATATGGCTGAGGTATAACTTGTGAGACACACTATGTCCCAACTAGTTTATTAAAAACTGAATTTTTCATCTTTTGACCTTCTTCACCCATTTCTCACAGTGGATGAAGGGGGCTGAAAGGTAAAAAGAAAAAGAAAGGAACTGCAAACTAACTATAATCCAATGAAATTTTGTTAATTATAAGTTTGATCTAAGTATAAATTTTTATTAGTAACCAAGATAGAGGGGCGCCTCGGTGGCTCAGTCAGTTAAGCCTCTGACTTCAGCTCAGGTCATGATCTCGCAGAGCCTGAGTTCAAGCCCAGTGCCAGGTTCTGTGCTGACAGCTCAGAGTGTGGAGCCTGCTTCCGATTCTGTGTCTCCCTCTCTCTCCACCCCTCCCCTGCTTGTACTCTGCCTCTCTTTCTCTCAAAAAAAAATTAAAAAAAATTTTTTTTAAATAACCAAGATAGAAAATAGTTCCTTACATACCAATTCTTGTAAGATGGGAAAATACTCCAGTACTTCCAATAGTCCTCGTGCAACTGATTTGAAATTGCTGAACACTGCTAATTTTAGACAATTGCTCTGGTCTGCATGAAACTGAAAAACCCTGAAAGGCTGACAAAATAAATGGTTGTGTTAGAAAATGCTCAGTGACATTAGCATAGAAGTTTATAACAAAATTTTTCTTTATAGAGTTCTTTTTTTTTTTCAAGTTTATTGATTTGAGAGAGGCAGGGACGGCATGAGTGGAGGAGGGACAGAAAGAGAGGGAGAGAGAATCCCAAGCAGGCTCCATGCTGATAGAACAGACCCCAACACGGGGCTCAAACTCAGAAACCATGAGATCATAACCTGTGCTGAAACCAAGAGTTGGACACTTAACCAACAGAGCCCCCCAGGCACCCCTCTTTACAAAGTTCTGTTCATATAAGTGGGTGGTGTAATAATCTAGACATTAAATCACAAATTCTGGACATTTAGGAGTCAGCCCAGCTTCGGGGCACTGTGGGTGGCAGGAACCCTGCATGCACCTGCCCTGCCAACATGATGCCTGAGAGGTGGCGAAGGAGGAGCCCAAGAGGAGGTGGGTGAGGTTGTTGGCTGAACCTACTCCTGCAAAAGTGGAAATGAAGCCAAGAAAGGCACCAGGAAAGGATAATCTTCAGGGAGAAAAGTGCAAACATAAGGGAAAGGGAGAGCAAAGGAAACAGGCTGAAGTGGCTAACCAAGAAACTAAAGAAGACGTACCTGCAGAAAATGGAGAAACTAAAAATGAGGAGTCCAGCCTCTGATGAAGCAGGAGAGAAAGGACCAAGACTGATTAGTGTCATATCCCATGTCTTATCAGTGGTCCCTGTCTCCTTTTTTGTGCAATCCAGAGGAATATTGTTATCAACTGTTTTGTAAATGCAAGTTTTTTAGTAGCTCCAGAAACATTTTTAAGGAAGAGGTAATCCCACCTCATCCCATTTTTTAAGTGTAAATGCTTTTTTGAAAGAGGTGAAATCATTTGCAGGTTGTTTATTTTTCGGTACAACCAGAAACTGGTAGGAAATTGAATATGGGAGGCTTTGAATATCTTGGGTGTCAACCTAACATTCTGTAGATGGGGTAATTCGTATATCCTATAACACCAAGCATACTTAATGGCAATTTGGAGTCAGTTGTTCATTTAACATGTCTTGAACATTTTTTTTAATTTATTTACTTAAATTCAAGTAAGTTAATATACAGTGTAGTATTAGTTTCAGGAGTAGAACGCAGTGATTCATCACTTACATACAACACCCAGTGCTCATCCCAACAAGAGCCTTCCTTAATGCCCATCACCTATTTAGCCCTTTAACCACCCATTTAACCCCCACCCACCTCCCCTCCAGCAACCCTCAGTTTGTCCTCTGTATTTAAAAGTCTCTTATGTTTTGCCTCCCTCTCTGTTTTTATCTTATTTTTCTTTCCCTCCCCCTATGTTTATCTGTTGTGTTTCTGAAGTTCCACATGTGAGTGAAATTATATGATATTTGTCTTTCTCTGACTGACTTATTTTGCTTAGGATAATACATTCTAGTTCCATCCATGTTGTTGCACATGGCAAAATTTCATTCTTTTTTGATCAAGTAATATTCCATTGTGTGTATATATACATATCACATCTTCTTTATCCACTCATCAACTGATGGACATTTGGGCTTTTTCCATAGTTTGGCTATTGTTGATAGTGCTGCTATAAGCATTGGGGGACATGTGCCCCTTTAAATCAACATTTTTATATCCTTTAAATAAATACATAGTAGTGCAATTGCTGGGTCATAGGTAGTTCTATTTTTAATTTTTTGAGGAACCTCCACTCTGTTTTCCAGAGCAACTGCACCAGTTTGCATTCCCACCAACAGTGTAAAAGAGTTCCCCTTTCTCCATATCCTCCCCAACATCTGTTGTTTCCTGAGTTGTTAATTTTAACCATCCTGACAGGTATGAGGTGGTATCTCACTATGGTTTGGATTTGTCTTTCTCTGATGATGAGTGATGTTGGACACCTTTTCATGTGTCTGTTCGCCATCTGGATGTCTTCTTTGGAGAAGTGTCTATTCATGGCTTCTCCCCATTCCTTTACTGGATTATTTGGTTTTGGGGGGTGTTGAGTTTGATAACTTTTTATACATTTTGGATACTAACACTTTATCCAGTATGTCATTTGCAAGTATCTTCTCTCATTCCGTCAAACTGCTTTTTAGTTTTGTTGACTGTTTCCTCTGCAGTGCAGAAGCTTTTTATCTTGATGAGGTCTCAATAGTTCATTTTGCTTTTATTTCCTTTGCCTCTGGAGGCATGTCTAATAAGTTGCTTGGCCTTGATCAAAGAGGTTGTTGCCTATTTTCTCCTCTAGGATTTTGATGGGTTTTTTGTCTCACATTTATGTCTTTCATCCATTTTGAATTTATTTTTGTGTATGGTTAAGAAAGTGGTCCAGTTTCAATCTTCTGCATGTAGCTGTCCGGTTCTCCCATCACCGTTTGCTGAAAAGACTGTCTTTTCTTCCATTAGATACTCTTTTCTGCTTTGTCAAAAATTAGTTGGCCCTACATTTGTGGCTCCATTTCTGGGTTCTCTATTCTGTTCCATTGATCAATGTATCTGATTTTGTACCAGCACCATACTGTCTTGATGATTATAGTTTTGTAATACAGCTTGAAGTCTGGAATTGTGATTCCTCAAGCTTTGGTTTTCTTTTTCAACATTACCTTGGATATTTGGGGTCTTTTCTTCTTCCATACAAATTTTAAAATTGTTTGTTCTAGCTCTGTGAAGAATGCTGGTGTTATTTTGATAGGTGTTGCATTGAATGTGCAGATAGCTTTAGCAATATTTGTTCTTCTAATCCATAAGCATGGAATGTTTTTCCATTTCTTTGTGTCTTCTTCAATTTCTTTCATAAGTTTCTATATTTTTCAGCATACAGATCCTTTACCTCTTTGGTTAGGTTTATTACTAGGTATCTTAGGGGTTTGGGTGCAATTGTAAATGAGATCAATTCCTTGGTTTCTCTTTCTGTTGCTCCATTATCGTGATATGCAACCGATTTCTGTACATTGCTTTTATATCCTGCAACTTTGCTGAATTCACCTGTCAGTTCCAGCAGTTTTTTGGTGGAGTCTTTCAGGTTTTACACATACAGTATCCTGTCATCTGCCAAGAATGAAACCAATGAATGTGATACACGACATTAATAAAAGAAAGGATAAGAACCATATGGTCCTCTCAATAGATGCAGAAAAAGCATTTGACAAAATACAGCATCATTTCTTGGCAAAAACCCTCAAGAAAGTAGGGAATAGAAGGAACATACGTCAACAACATAAAGGCCATATGTGAAAGGCCCACAGCTAATACCATCCTCAATGAGGAAAAACTAAGAGCTTTCCCTCTAAGGTCAGGAACACAACAGAGATGCCCACTCTCACCACAGTTGTTCAACATAGTACTAGAAGTCCTAGCCTCAGAAATCAGAAAATAAAGAGAAATAAAAGGCATAAAAATTGGCAAAGAAGAAGTCAAACTTCCACTCTTGGCAAATGACATGTATTGAACATTTTAAAGTACTCTATTCCGATGTTGTTTTTGGTAGAATTGTTTCCTAAAAAAGACCACTCTTTGATCTTGGTTCTCCCTGTGAGAATTTTGTATACTCTGTAACATCTTGGTTGTGGTAATCCAGTTTTCCTAGTAACTTTGTTAATGTGCTGTGCAAGATTGAAAATATGAGTATGTAGTGTATATACTATTAAATTGTTAATTGATGGCATTTAACAATGTAACAGCACGTCAGCCTTGAAGATATGGGTACCTGATATACTGTCAAAGAAAATTTGCCTCCAAATTTTAAGCTGGACATCATAGAATAACTTTTAGAAAAGAATCACAACTACATGATTTTTTAGATTATCGGTACATATGTTAAGAATTGTGTACAAATTGAAATGTCTGTACTGATCAACCAACAAACACGCAATTATGAAAGAAAAAATCCTGAGCATTTAGGACAAAATTCTTTCTAAATACAAATCATTATATACTATAATAAGTTAAATCTGAAATCTGAATCATCCCAAACAGCCTCCAATGCAACTTGATTGTAAACTCTAACAGGGCATAGATTTTTGTGTTTTGTTTTCTGATGTATCTCCAGCCCCTATAAAAAGGGTTTTTTTTAGGAAATTAATATTATTTTCCCTATTAGGGTAGGTCATGTTGAATATAAAGGGTTAACATAGTATGTCAAATGAGAAAAAAAAATCAATATAAAGTGACTTTGATTATATTATAGCAGCCCTGAATATCACTCTGGTTTCCTATAGCTGCCAATACCAAAGTACCATAGAATACAGGTATACAAAGCTGGGAAACCAAAATTGCCAACGTTTGTGCGTAGGCTCTCTCGTATTAGCAGTCATAACATTTTACTTTGGAGTTTTATTTAAACAGCCTCAGCAGTCTGTATCACAATTTAGGAGTGCTTAAGAGTTGGAGGCTGAGTTTGTTTGTACTCTCTCGTATGTCCGAGTGCAGATAACATTGTTCACGGCACTTTCCTAGAAGACAAAGGATGAGATACATCAGTATTGTTGGTGAAACTGACTTTTAGAACCATGCAAACTAAGTACTATCCATAGGAGTTTTGAAAAGAGATCTACATAGAGAACAATAGATACCAACTGTTAGCTGATTTTGCCACGTGTGTGTGTGTATGTGTGTGGGGGGGGATGACAAATCATATATTAAATAGGGTATGTGCAGTATATACATATATATTGTAAATATGTAATGTATGTGTATATATATAAACAATACATATACTATAGAAACTTCAGTCTTTATTCAAACATTTTAAATGCCTACATTGAAGCATTTTTGCTATTTCACATAATCCTACATTTTCAAATAATGACATTGTTACATTGATGTAGTATTTTATGGTTTTTAAAGCACTAATGTATATATAATGGCATTTAATTCTCTCAAAAAAACCATGAAGACATTTCTACATTTTTTTAAGACAAGTGAACTGAATTTGGAAAAGATAAATGACTCATCCAAAGTCATGTAAGTACTGAATGGCAGAGATGGAAATGTACATTTTAGATTCTGAATCTAACATTCTTCCTAATGAACTAAAAACCCATCTGTTTGGTGATTATGCCATTATAAGGAGCAATAAAATCAAGTATCCTTAGTCCTCTACTTACTACTTTGTAAGGAAAATGTACTCTTCATTTTGGAAAGAAAAAATATCCTTATGTGAAGAAATGAAGATAGGTTTGTTTGTTTGTTTGTTTGTTTGTTTTTTACCTCCACACAATTCTTACATATTCCCTTAGAACTATTTGATATTATGTCCAAAATGGCTTTTTTATTCATTTTTGTGGAATTGGCAGTTTGGGAAGAAGAATCATTGGCATATATCCCTCCACTGTGTAGGGAGAAAGATGAACTGAGAAGCCATCCTCAGAGAGAGAAGGGTGGACTTAAAAAAGTATACTTGGGAATGAAGCCAACCTGGGTTTTAACCCCAGCACCACCATGTTTTTCTAGCTGAATATCCTTAGGTTAAGTCAGTGACTGAATCTCAGTTTTCTCACCTGGTACATGGACTAACAAGTCTTACCTCACAGGATTATTGTGAGAAGTGGGTAAATAATATATGAAAACATGCAGACACAACAACCACAGAAATGTTAGTTTTTAATTGTGTCAACTCATCCATACACCAAGTCGATACCACTTAAGCTTTGCATTAGTTTAAATTTCCTTTCCACGTGTTTGGTGTTGAACTGGAAAACAGTGAGAAATTAATCCTGGTATGGAGTGAAGGATGAACAACAACTCAAAATCCCTGCTGAAATCTTTATTGCACAAATGCATGCTTGCTTTGGTTTATGACAAGTCAAAGAAGTAGGCAACACATTTTTTTATGTTCTTTAGTTTTTTTAGTTCCTCAATCCATGCACATTTTATACGATTTATGATCATACATTTATCTGCCAATGTTTTCCCGCATTCTTACAAAGCAAGAGAAAAAGAAAAATCACATTTACTTCCATCATTTTAGAACAAGACATCTGGGTGATTTTATATAGAGGTGTTACAGATGGTGAAAAAAATAATGACAAACAGCTCACTCACCACCACCATTTTCCCATCCACCACCTTTCTCTTTATGGTGGTCTCTTTGCCATTCCAGTCCTGAACTTGAATCAGAGAGTCATTATCTAAGTTTACCACACTCTGGAAAACAGACAAAACCAAATTCAGCTCAGATCGTCACATGTGAACACTAAAATTCTATGAAGTACCAAATTCTTTTCAGCTTTTGTGATGCTCTCAGGTAGTTTTAGAGTGGTGTTTATAGTTTCATTTATATTTTAAGACTTTGCCAACACTAAATTTGTTGGCTGATTCTTCTCGGGGTGGGGGGGGAGGGAGGAGGTTTTATAAGAGTAAAAATATAATATTGTCTTGAATAATAATTAAAACTTTCTTCTCCCTGAGAAATAAGAGGGGTAGATACCCTGTTTCCTATCCCCTCACCACCACACACACAGAAGATTCTTCAACCCCACAACAATGGTGAATATGTACTATAAATTAGAAAGCAATTCCCATTGTGTTAAGTCATGAGGGCCTGTGGTTAATCTGTCACTGTGGCATAACCTCACCTATACTGGCTAATACACATTTTATTCATTGTGACTTTATGCTTGGTAGGAAACTGCTACAAAGTAGAAAGGCAGAACTTTGTTTCTGAGAGAAGAATCTAAGGAAATAATTCTCAAAATAGGTCAGCTAAGCATCTGCATCAGAATTGTTGTTAGAAATACAGTTTTCAGGTGCCTACACCAGATATCAGAGCCTGTGAGGATGGGACCTACAAGGAGGCATTTTTCATAAGCATCACAGGAGATTTGTATGCATATTAAAATTTAAGATCCTGAGACCTAGATTTTAGCCCAAGTTGATCTAATACAGACTTTAGATGTGTTTGCTATAATTCATGATTTACTTAGAATGATTTTGAATTAGCATTCTTATGAAATTTATCTAAAAGAGTGTTGAAGGCCTCACCTTGGTTTTATGGCCACCTGGTGTATTTTCCTCAAACTCTTCTCCCAGTTTAAAGGAGATCTCATTATTTTTAAAGATGCTTCTGGTTTTTATAGTGATCAGACCTTCCTGTGTACTGATGGTCACCGTGGGTTTTGCCAGACAGCCAAGTTTCCTTCTGGCTCTTCCTATTCCTAGGAATCAGATAAAAGGACATTATGGTTAAATCCGTTACTGGCTTTGGAAACTCATGTTAGCTGTATAATTCTTTACTAACTAGGTTTGTGAGTTAAACAGATTAAATGCTGCATGAATTCAAGTATCTGAAGTAAGTAGCACCTTTATAAGTTAAAATAGATTATATTTCGCAGAATGAAATTAGTCTCTAGTTTTGGCTGGTGGTCGTCATTTTTCTTTAGTCCTGTGGTTACTGGTCTTGTTGGTTCATGAAGAACCTCTTCGAAAATTTGATTAAAGCTATGAACCATCTCCCTATTTTAAAATGTACTCATTTATACAGACAAAATCCTTTGGCATGAATTATTCAACATCTTTATCTCTTCACTTACATTCTTATATGTACACATATATAGAGTCTGTTTTCTTCCATTACATATTTTGTATTATGCTAAAATACATATAAAATTTACCATTTTCACCATTTTATTTTTTTTTTAATTTTTTTTCAACGTTTATTTATTT